TGACATTCGGCTATCAACCAAGGGACGTGTGTACTGCTCAGCAGTTTGCTCCGTCCTTCTCTATGGTAGTGAGACGTGGCCATTGAGAGCGGAAGACATGAAGAGATTGTCTGTTTTTGACCACAGATGTTTACGATCTCTTTCTCGCGTTAGGTGGTATAATAAGGTAAGTAATGTTGACGTTAGGCGTAGAGTGTTGGTTGGGCAAAGAGGGAAAATCAATCGACGAGGCTATAAAGTTACATAGATTGAGATGGTTAGGTCACGTGCTGCGCATGCCTAACCATCGCCTTCCCCGACGGACGGGCATTACTAGCTGATATAGGTAGGTGCAGGTTGGAAAAGAGTAAGTGGTGGCCAAACAAAAACATGGCCTCATCAATCCATGAAATCCTTGACAGTTAAACTGAGTCAGGTAGGGAGATGCAGACTTCCGGGTTGGGGCCCACCCTCGGGACTCTAAGAATCAATGGCTGGAGACAATAGGTGACATGGCTCAAAATCGTTGTCAATGGCTTACGCAGATGTATTCAGTCTCTGTAATCTTTCATATTCCTTTCTGCCATTACTCATTCTGTTTCACTCTTATACTTGTCAAAACTCTATTGATTCTCTTCACCCATCTTCTTGTCTACCTTTGTGTGCTCTTTGGAACGTGGCAACTCGAACTGCTGCACTTCGGTGCCAAGTTCTATGTTGAATCCAGCAGCAGCAGCAGTTAGGAAAATTATTGAAAATCACCAAAGAACACTGGGCATCTGTTTCGTTCTATTTTGAGACTCTTCAATAGTGCATACCCACTACGCCATAAAGTTTTCGAACCCGGGACCTTCAGGTTACGAGACCAAGCTCATTGATTCAGAGATTCAGGGATTATTGATTCCAGCTCAAATAGCCGAATGCTCAACGAGCTTGACCGCATAACCCGAAGATTCTGGGTTCGATCCCTGGCTGGGTAGGATGAAACAGCTGTCCAGGCTCTCTAGTTGGCTGGCTGGCTGGATTCAACATAGAACTTGGCACCGAAGTGCACCAGTTCGAGTTGCCACGTTCCAAATACCACACAAAGGTAGACAAGACAAAGATGAGTGAAGAGAATCAATAGAGTTTTGACAAGTATAAGAGTGAAACAGAATGAGTAATGGTAGAAAGGAATATGAAAGATTACAGAGACTGAATACATCTGCGTAAGCCATTGACAACGATTTTGAGCCATGTCACCTATTGTCTCCAGTCATTGATTCTTAGAGTCCCGAGGGCCCCAACCAGTCAGGAAGTCTGCATCTCCCTCCCTACCTGACTCAGTTTAACTGTCAAGGATTTCATGGATTGATGAGGCCATGTTTTTGTTTGGCCACCACTTACTCTTTTCCAACCTGCACCTACCTATATCAGCTAGTAATGCCCGTCCGTCGGGGGGAGGCGATGGTTAGGCATGCGCAGCACGTCACCTAGCCATCTCAATCTATGTAACTTAATAGCCTCGTCGATTGATTTTCCCTCTTTGCCCAACACTCTACGCCTAACGTCAACATTACTTACCTTATTATACCACCTAACGTGAGAAAGAGATCGTAGACATCTATGATCAAAAACAGTCAACCTTTTCATGTCGTCAACTCGTGTTGGCCATGTTTCAGAGCCATAGAGAAGGACGGAGCGAACTTCTAAGCAGTATACACGTCCCTTGGTTGATAGCCGGATGTCACGCCTACGCCAGAGATGGCGTAAGTTAGCGAAAGCAGCTCGAGCTTTTCGGATCCGTGCTGAGATTTCGTCGCCAATCAGTCCGTTGGTGCTGATACAACTTCCCAAATAGGTGAAGTGGTCAACATGTTCTATCACTTCACTCCCTATCACTAAGCTAGGAGTTGACGTAGTCCACTTCTGTAGCAGCATCTTACATTTTACAGGGGCGAATCGCATTCCAAACATACGAAGATTGCTGCTCAAGGTGTTCAGAAGACTCTGCATTTTGTCAGCAACCTCCCCTAACAGGCTCTCTGGTAGTCTTCAATAATCTCTTTAACTAATTTTGGCTTGTGACAATTGAAATTCAACTAATCTATATCCCCGCAGTCGCCATAACCTGAATTCTTTTGTAAAACATCACCTGGCGAAGTTAAAATATCTCATAGCCGCAGTCAAGGCCTTTCAAAATTTGACTTTCAGGAGCCACCAATCAGATACAGGGGGATGCTATGGAAGGTCATTCCAAATAAAATCATGTCTGCCTTTCTGAACTTGAAGAAGGCAAATAAAGTATGCCACTTATTCTCTAGGTACGTTTTCTGCAAATCTATACTGTTAGGTAGACTTATGGCTTTTTACATTAGGATTTATGGTTAGAGTTAGGTGTAGATTGAAGAATAGTGTCAGAAATATCAATGGATCTCAATGTAGCATGACCTACAGTCACCCCTGGATGAATGGATATATCATGCATGACACGATTTCTCTATGCATTATCTCTGTAGGGACTGGGAGACATTCTTACAACACATAAGCTACAAAGATACAGTGTTAATATCAAGTTTGCAATATTTCTCAGTGTATTTTTCAACGATTATACGACATTTTTCCTAGCTGAATTCTGATTGGTTCATCAAGGTCAGTGTAGGTTTGGTTATGGTAGTTTAACTTTGATATAAGAATGAAACTTGTGCACTGTGGTGGTAGAGTATAATTCCATTATAGGTAATTTATTTGATAGTCTGTTATGCAGTAATATTCACTGATGACGCTTCGAGCACAATTTGTTGCTGCTCATAATCATATCAAGGTACTCACACAACTTTCTAACTTCGTTTATATAATTCCGTCATCATTTTTCATCGCTTGATTTGATGATTGGTAGTAGTATTTTCCATATTTCCGGTATGAGTGATGAGTTATTCCTATTGCATGTGTTGGGTGTAGATTCACTCGATGAACCAGGATTCAGTAATCAATCTCTCTCGCGCTCCACCTACCTATATTACTTCTTAGAATTTTAACCTTCTCCCACCCTTTTGTGTGGTTGTGTGTTAATGCATGCATGAGTGCAGTTGCTGAGTTTTTTTCTAAATTACTTATCTTCGTGGGGTCAATCATTCTAACCTTAGCTAAATTCTTATGTTCTGATAATCTCACTACTCCTGATCCACTAGTTTGACCTATTAGTTGACCTCACAGTCAATACAAGGTATTTTGTAAATTATATTATTTTGTCTAATTGGGTCAACCGACACGGTCCTTTAACCTACAAAGCTTGTCCTACCTGAGTGAGTTTGTAGGTTTGAATGCCACCCTGATTCCTGCTTTATTAAGAATCCTACGTAGGGAGGGTCTCAGATGTCCCCTCCTTATATGGCAAAACTGTAGATGCGTTATATTCTCTCTTATTTATGTTATCATTATTAGTTTCCCCATTATTTTTATTTTGCTTTTGGCCTTTACTGATCTTCCTAATGAATTTTATAGGATAGTTATTTGATACCAACGCTTCTTCTTCTATCTGTTTTATTTCGTCATTTAGGTCTTTTCTTGTGCTACTCAGTGCTATGGTTCGGTTTGTTAGACACTTTACTAAGCCTGCCTTCACAGATAACGAATGGGTGAGATGAATTAAAGTATTATATATATATATATATATATGCGTCGGTGGCACAGTGGTTAGGACTCACGCCGACCATGCATATGGTCCGGGGTTCGATCCCCTGCCGGCGCACACCCGATATCTATGGTCGGCCTGAAATTTGGGCTACCGATATCCATGCTGAAAATTCCATACCTGTACCGAAAAATACGGTGTGGAATCAAGCTGTAATCAAATAAAAAAATATATATATATTGATTACAGCTTGATTCCACACCGTATTTTTTGGTACAGGTATGGAATTTTCAGCATGTGATATCGGTAGCCCAAATTTTGCAGGCCGACCATAGATATCAGGTGTGCGTCGGCAGGGGATCGAACCCTGGACCATGTGCATGGTCGGTGAGAGTCCTAACCACTGTGCCACCGACGGATATATACATATATATATATGGAAGTTAGAAAGTTGTGTGAGTACTTTGATATGATTATGAGCAGTAATAAATTGTCTATAGTTTGGTTTGTAAGGGTTAGTTATGTTTTTTACGAGTTGATCACGGATTGATATCAGTTAGAGAACCATTGAAAACCAGCCAGGGAGTACTGGACTTCTGTTTCATCCTACTCGTTTGGGAATCATCGGCAGTACGCACCTACTGGGTTTCTGACCTAGAGCCTTCCGGTTACAAAGCAAGCTCGTATACCATTCAGCCATTCACTGGGACCCGATTCAATGGCCAGCTCATGAATTCTAACTTCTACCGATTCGTGATTTAGCGCGACCCCAACTCGTAAAAACAAAACTAACCCTTACAAATCAAACTATAGAAAATTATTCTGATGCTCGCTAGTGACTTGCTATAGGATGGAGTTTCCTGGGGTTCTAGTGAGAAGTCGTGACCAGTGAGGTCCAATTAGATGTCACGTGTGTGAATTGATGTCCCACCAACGACAATGGTCGGGGTCGCGCTAAATCACGAATTGGTAGAAGTTAGAATTTCACGGACTGGCCATTGAATCGGGTCCCAGTGGCTGAATGGAATACGAGCTTGCTGGCCTTGTAACCGGAAAATCCTGGGCTCGAACCCCCTGTTGTGGAGTGCGTACTGCCGATGATTCCCAAACTAGGATGAAACAGCAGCTGTCCAGTACTCCAGTATTGGTTTTCAATGGTTCTCTAACTGATATCAATCCGTGATCAACTCGTAAAAAGTAATAAATTGTGCTCGAAACTTCGTCATCAGTAAATATTACTGCATAACACGCTGTGAGACTTTATCAAAATAAATTTTACCCATAATAGAATTGTAGTTTAACTTTGCCTATCACTTTATTTTTCTATGCTATATCTCCATAATTGACTTTCAATTTTGATGAATATGGAATTGTGTGTTTCTAAATCTCTTTTGCTTTTCCTTTATAGCATGATTTATTACTCATTCAAACATTACTCGGAAGACAACCTGAAGTAGCCGGAGACCACCACCACCATCATCACCGTGATTCTGATTGGTTCATCCAATCGGCAATAAACTTCGGCCAGACAATAAAATCAATTCTTTCCAAACCATTCCCTCGTGTTACATACAATGAAGCCATAAAGTATTTAAACAAACAAATCAGCCCCACTGAAGAACCGTATGATTTAAGCAAAAGTGATGAACAAAAAGTACTCGATTGGTTCGGTGGAGATCAACCGGTTTTCATAACACACTTTCCTGCACAACTTAAACCATTTTATTGTCAGCTGACGGATGATGCTGATGGCGGTAGTGTTGGTGGTATTACAGCTGAATGTACTGACTTGTTATTTCCAGGAATTGGTGAACTTGTCGGTGGAAGTGTTCGTGAATCCTCTGCGAGTGTATTACAGACACGTATTAAGGCGCTGAATACTAATCATTGTAGAGATAAATTGCACTGGTATATTGATTTACGTAATACTACTGGTAGTGTACCACACGGGGGTTTCGGTCTTGGCTTTGAACGTCTTCTGCAATATCTACTGGGGATAATTAATATACGAGATACAATTGCATTTCCGAGAAATACTCATAAAATTATTTTGTAGAAAAAAATATATATGTATAAATATGTATATGTATTTTGTATCATTTTGGGTATTTTGTTGTTGTTGTGTATTGAGTTAATGTTGCACATTGTTATTATTATTGTTTCCTTTAACTCCTAGAGGAACATAGGGCTTCAGCGGTGCGTCTCCATTGCGTTCGGTTCTCTGCTAGAGTCTTCACCTGGCTCCAAGTCTGCCCACACGCTTTTTTCATCTCCTCTTCACATGACCTCCTCCTCCAAGTCACCCACTCTTGCACTGACGACCAACTCGACGCCGCTTCCCTTTCGGGTTCCACTCGAGGGCTTGCCTAGTGATGTCACTTGGTGGTTTATTATCTCAGAGTATGGTCAATCCATCTCCATTTCTTCCTGCCTATTTGTTTCACAATCGGTTCCTGCTGGGTTGGTTCGCTCATTGCCAGAGATCTCTATTGCTGATCTTTTCTGACCGGCCATCTGATCTTGAGTATTGAGCGAAGACAACTGTTAATGAAGGTCTGTAGTTTGTTTGAGATGCTCTTTATGACGCGCAGTGCAAGTCTCTGATCCGTATAGTAAGTAGCACTGACTTCACATTGGAGTTGAAAATCCGGATCTTATCGTTTTGGTGCTGAGTGCTGTTGACCTCCACACAGACTTGAGAGTAGTGAAAGCTTGTCTTGCTTTTCCGATTCTTGCTTTGATATCCTCGTCAGTTCCGTCCACCTGTAGTTGAAACGATGCTTCCCAGGTAGGCAGGTAAAAGAGGTTGTTTCTTTCAGCTTCCTTCCATTTATGCTGATTGTTGTCTGTTGTTGTTGTTGTTGCTGTTGGTGGTGTTGCCCAGGAATCTTCATCACCTCTGTTTTCTCTATGTTCACCTGAGAGGATGTTCTATTTTTGATGCTTCTTCTGCACATTGTTGGAGTGAGTTTATAGAGCAACACATTTAAGCGAACAGTGGTATTGTGTTTTCAATTAGATCTCATCAAGGCTTAACTCTAATATACCTACATAACGTAACAAATAAACATTCAAATATAAACTAATCATGGTGTTTTGTCTATAGGATAATAAGATGGTGAATATAAATTGTGCAATTAGTCATAATAGTAGTAATGATAATAATAATAACAGTGGTTTTATCAATAATAAGGATGAAAAAGTGAGGCAATCTGGGATATCACGAATAATCAAAAACAGCATTGTCAAACAAACAAATGTTCAGGTAGACGTAGTAGTCGATAAAGCCTAAGAAAAACAAATGATCCGATTCAGTAATGCTAGATTGTAGGGGAAGTAAGTGAAACACGTTTATAATGAAGATGTGATAAGATTAAGGGATGATAAGATAGGAGGGGTTGAAAATATAAGTGAAGCGTGGTGTAGAAGTCATTAGTTGGTTAGGTCATAAAATAGGCCAAGAGGGAGATAATGGCTGTACGAACTTCTTCCTGAATGCATTATTGTTCCCTTGGGTTCCTAGTAGAACATAGGGCTTCAACTGCACGTCTCCACTTGCTTCTGTCTTCTGCTGAACTTTTCACCTGCATCCATGTTACTCCATACTTTTTCAACTCCTCTTCACACGATCTGCTCCATGTCACCCTTGCACCGACGAACCACTCGCCACTTCCCTTTCGGGTTCCACTCGAGCGTTGGCCTGACGCGCGATGTCACCCAGCGGCCTCCTCAGCCAGTGAGTGTCCAATCCATCTCCACTTTCTCCTGCATATTTGTTGGGCGATTGGTTCTTGTTTTGTTTGTTCACATAGTTTCTTGTTGGTGATTCTTTCTTGTTGGCCATCTGATCTTGAGTATAGAGCGAAGACAGCTGTTGATAAAGGTCTGAAACAGGCTGTTGGAAATATTCTTTGTGACACACTGGCCAAGTTTCTGATCCGTATAGAAGAACTGACTGACTTGACGTTTGTATTGAAAATCCGAATCATTTTGTTGTTGATGCTGAGTGACGAAGATTTCCAGATTGGTTTCAGGTTGATGAATGTGTTTCTCGCCTTCCGGATTCTCGATTCGACATCCTCGTCCGTTCCTCGTGTAGTTGAGACAATGCTCCCTAGATAAATGAATGAAGTCACCTCTTTCAAATCCCTCCCTTTGATGGTGATTGGCGCTGGATGTTGCTGCTGTTGTTGTTGTTGGTTGGTTGGTTATTTTCATAATCTCCGTCTTGTCTATGTTCACCTAGAGTCCTTCCTGTCTTTGCTGCTTATTTGACCAGTTTGTCGGTTTTCGCTTGTAAGTCTTCGATTTTGTGTGACATCAAACATAAATCATCCACGCGCGAAATCCAGGTCTTCTAGGTTCTTCACGTCGGTCAGGACAGGATATCCCTGTCTTCTCGTTTCCCACTGTCTGACGCATAATCCAGTCCAGTCCACCACAATTAGGAATATCATTGGTGATAATAAGCACCCTTGTCTGACTCCTGTGTTTACTCCAACCGCCTCGCTGAGTTTTCCGTTGTGGATCATTTGACATGTACCGCTGTCGTACAACTGTTGCATAAGGTTCATGAATATTAGGGGTACACCGTAGTACTTGAGTAGTTTCCAAATCACTTCGCGATCAACGCTGTCGGAGGCCTTCTCATAGTCTATAAAGTTGAATGCACAGTTTAGGCTTAATAGTTCGACTGCCTATCGCCTCAGGTGTGTGCAGTAGACGAATACGAAGTCTATTGGAAAGATTCAGTGGGACACGATGTATTACTTTGAAGGCTTTCGTTTTCTCGATTACATGACCACTATCAATTAAGTGTGATAAAATTGAGCTACGGATTGTTTTTGTCTCTCCCTTGGCAAACCACCACGATGGGAGATGTTCAATAGTGACACGTTGGCTAAGCTGTCTAACAGAACACCCAACATAACTGTAATCACAGGTGCAGTTGAATTGATAAATGCACATAGATGTGGCAAAACTATCTAGCTTTTCCTTCGTTTGCGTCCTTAATCATTCGTCGACTAGAGAATGACAAACATAGATGTGCTGCATAAATGGTTCTTCGTAGACTCCTTGAAAGTCCTTGGAATAGAATCTCACTTGATAAGTCACCATTAAGTTGTAACTTAATAAATAGGAGTTTTTTTACGTGCAATCATATTCTCAGGTTTGCATATGTTTCTTTATGAAACTACTCGAATAGCCCATCTCCATCAAGGAATCGTGAATATATTCGAATTCCTTTTGTAAGAGGTCATCCGTACATATCTTTCTTGCTCTGCTTGTTAGACACTTAACAACATTTCTTTTATATTTAATGGGCACGTAACTAAGGAAGGAATTGTGTGTGTATTGCCCTTTGAATGTGCTTTTTCTATACACGCTTCTCCCAAGTGACCCATCTTCTCGCCTACTTAGCAAGGCATCCAGAAAATGTAGTTTACTATCCTGCTCCTCTTTACAAGTAAAAGTAAGCGGAGGATGTTGTTGAATTTCATCAACAATTCGTCTATGTTTGCATTCCCATCAGCTGAGATAAATGTTTTATAGAGACTTGATTTGTTTCAAGTTCCCCCATGGATTGACGTCAGTTATGAACGAAATATTCCCCCCCCCCATATTGAGTCATAAGAAAAAAGGCGTAAACAGTGAGGAAGAAAATTTTCTTTTCGACGATTCATTTTCAACAGATGCTATCGTAATTATATTCAACAAAGAAATCTTTAGACCAATCAGATAATTGCGAATTTTAAGTCCTTGGAAAATTGTATTATATAATGTAAGGTGTAAGAAGGGATGACTAATTGTGAGTTAGAAAGGAGACAGAAGTTGGCATGATGTAATAAGTGTGAGATAATGACTAACCAATAGAATGGACAGGAACTAGTGGAAAGGTGATAAAGTGTTTTTACATAAAATCTGTATGAAAACGCAGTTTTATTAATAAACAGTAATAGAGTGGTAATAAAATGTGGATGATGGGAATAATAATGATAATAATATAATAACATTAAACTTACACAATAAAAAAGACGCAAAATTATAGTAAGGACTTTACTCTGGCCACGGTAGGGTGAGTGAATGTATCTAGTGCTTTTGAATGCAGAGGTCTGGTTTCAGATCTCGAATAGCTAATGATTCAGCTATGTACAGATAGCGTATGCGAAGTCCCTTTGTACGATATTGAGGGACTCTGTGTAGCACTGTGAAGCATTCATGCAAATGGGGGTGCTCGATGTCCGGAGATGACAAGGTGTTCGAGGATAGAGCTGCTGCTATTCTTCTTTCCTCCTCTGGCTGGCTAACCAAGCTGGAAAATGTTCCAGAATACGTTTGTGGACTTGACGTTGCGTACGACCGATATACTTTGCTCCACACGAGCAAGTAAATTGATAAATACACATTGAAGTGGCCAAAAGCGGCGGTATCTTATCCTTAACGTTAGACTGGATTAACTGTCTGCTGGAGAATGTGATACGTAAGGTGGCTGTTGGAAATGTCTTCTTCAGACATTTAGAAAGGCGGTTTCTAAGAATTTCTGCTTTGAATCCCAATTTAATGAAGAGAGTATTCTTAGGAACAGTTGTGATTTTCGGCGATGGAGGCTTCTCTCTCATATTTTTGTTTATGAATCTTAATGGATACCCGTTGTCTAGTAGGGCTTCACGTAATAAATTTAATTCTTTCGCTATCTTGTCTTCCAAACAGATTTTTCTAGTCCTTGAAGTACTGGACAGCTGTTTCGTCAGACTAGTTTGAGACTCACTGTCAGTATGCACCCACCACAGGGGTGTTCAGACCCGAGTCTTTCTGGTTACAAGTTAAATTCGTGTACCATTCAACCACCGGGACAGAATCCAATAGTCCATGAATTCTTACTTTAGTTGTTACACAATGTGATGTCCCTTCTCACTTAGTAATTTACCAGTTGGTTCTAATTCTGGAAATAGGGGATAGTTTGGGGCTTGAGACTAACTACCCTATCCCAGGAAATCAATCTAATCACTGCAGAAATTACAAAGCACAGAAAATAAATAAATAAACAGATTCTTC